GCAGCTCGACTTTAACCACTTATGCTCTTTATGCCCCCATCTGAACACAGCCTTATGTGCAAAAGTATGTTTGCTCTTGCCATCCCCAAACCTATCATAGAATCAGTTACTAAATATAATTATACAGTTTCTCATCTTTTTCCAGATGTTATGTCATTACTCTCAAATTTGCTTATGAAACCAGACCCTACTGATCCCTATACAAAGCTCAAAACTGAATTAATAAACCAATTTGGAGAATCTTCTCAGCAAGAAATTCAGCATTTATTACCTGGCGAGGCATTAAGCTCCCCAAAAAATTCCGATTTGCACAGAAATAAGAAACGTCAAGAGAAATCCTTAAATGTGCCCAATAACTTATTGTTATAATTATTCCCTCATTTGCCTTCAACCATTCAGTCTACTTTGGCAATGGTTTCCGGTTTAACTTTAGATAAAGTTGCAGAAATTGTCGACAGAATCTTGGAAGTAAATCCGATCCGAGGGACTTGCACAATTTCTCAAAGATCTGATCAATCTAATAAGTGTAAATTATTTAAAGAAATAGAAAAATTAAACAAATGTATTGATCATATTTCCTTGGTCACTTGCCAAATTGCTGAGCTAGCAATAAAGAAAGGAGCAGTTCCAAAAAGAAAGATTTTATTTGCTAGTATCATTGGCATTTTGAAAAAAAAAAAAAAAACTGTAGAAGACTGTACCAAACCTTGCTCATGGTGGGAAAACCAACCAGCAAAGAATAGAGGTGACTTACTCTATGTCTCAAATTTCACATCCCCATTTCGTTCGTGACCAGAGAACAAAAATTTCATTCTTGGTCGATACTTTTTCTGACTTCTGGCAAACAATTCTCAAAAACAAAATTCTTCCCAAAAAAGCATTTTAGCTGCTAATTTTTCAACTATTCATGTTTATGGTAAAAAAAACTCTTTCTTTCGATTTCAGATTAAGATGAGAGTTCACCAGGACTTTTCTTATAGCAAATGTTATTACACACATTCTTGGAGCAGATTTCCTCCATTTCTTTGAATTGGTGCCTGATCTTAAAAACATGTCGCAGAGATTTAAAAACACGATTTCAAACTGTAGGCTGCATGAATGATGCAGATAGTTGTTCAGAAAAAACTCTTCTTAGGGATGCAACTTATCACAAAATGTTGACAGTATTACTAAATTATTGGATCCTAACCAACCTGTTAAACACAACAATGTCCATTACTGCATAACCAAAGGCCCACCTGTGGTTGTGAAACCTCGTTGGTTAGCCAGAGATTGCTTAAAAATAGCGAACCAAGAATTTCAAACTATGATGCTACTGGGGCATCTGAAACCTTTGAGAAGCAATTATGCATCCTCATTTCAAATGGTTCCAAAAAATGGAACTTTGGAATGAAGATCACTCGGCGATTATCATGGACTAAACGCCCAAACAATAAAAGATAAATGCCTTATAAAGTACTTTCTCCCTCCATTTCACATGCCTTCATGGTGTAATTGGAAACATACTTCATGCGTATTCGAGAGGTCCAGGGTTCAAAGTGCAGCGAGGGCATTGCACTTCATTCAAATCTCCTGCATTAAGTATCCTAATGACTCTACAACCCTATTCCTTGTTTAGCTGATTTTAATGCTGAAGTGTATGGCACTAAAATTTTTAGTGATGTTGACCTTATTTAGCCCTACCATCAAATACCTATTAATCCCAATAATATGCAGAAAATCGCCACATGTACACCAGTTGGTTTATTCCAAAGTACCCTTATGCAATTCCACTTATGTAACACATCCGTGACTTTTCAATATTTTATAAACACAGACAGTCACATGAGATTTAGAGGATGTTTATGCTTTCATCGATGATTTGCTTATAATCTCTAAAGATTCTGAGGATTATTGCAGTAATTTGAAAGCCTTATTTTCAAATCTTTTAGAAATATGGATGGACTTTGCATAAATGTTTCAAAATGCACCTTTGATCGAACATCTATTGATTTCTTAAGTTTTCATCCTAGTGGAAATGCAAATGAACCTCTTTCTGACGAAGACAAATGTATTTTAGATTTCCCTCACCCAACCACCCTCCTCACCAATTTTCAGGAACGTGTAACTTTTACAGGTATTTCCTACTTAAAGCAGGACACATTCTTTCTTCTTTAATAAAATTGTCGGAAGGACATATCAATAAAAAGAAATCTCATCCTTGTGTTCAGGACTTATCTGCACAGTTAAATCAGAATCAAAATGCTTCACAAACCAATGCCACTGCTCAGGCTACCCTTTTTTGAGATACCCTATTCCCACAGCCCAGTTAAGTATCTTGGCAGATGCTTCAAACATTGTAATAGGCAGCACTCTTATGCAGTTATCTAAAAAAATGGGAATCTATAGCATTTTTCTCTATGAAACTCAATAACAGTCAACAGCTGGCAGCCATAACATCTGAAAGTATTATTAAGTCAGTGATGCAGAGCTACATCAAGTTCAACTTATTTAACATTATGCAACTAGGAAAGCTTTTATTACCATCTACAGTGCGCAAAGTGCTAAGAGGTAACAACATGTTTCATTTGGTTACTTCCTAAATTATTATTTTTACTTAAATTTGGCTATTAAAGGTATTTTTAAAACTATGTGTAGCATGTGGTTTTTCTTTCGATCTTGATTTTGTTAATTCATTTTGTTATTAAATATTCCACTTGACTAAGGAAAATTTGTTAATTCATTTTGTTATTAAATATTCCATTTAACTAAGGAAAATGCCATTGTTTTTACCACCATGTAGATACTTTTATTTTTGGCAGCTTTTATAATTTTCAAGTAATCTTTCGGTCAGTTTTGAGTTTCAAACAACAGCATGTTTCTGTTATAAATATTATTTGTTATTTTTGGCTATAATTTGTATAGCTGATTTTGTTTATTTATTCTAAATTTTATACCAACATCAGAGATGGGGGGAAAAAAACTTTTAAAAAAATTGAGAGATTCTTAAGAAATCACTATGTTTAAAGAAGCAATAATGACACGAAAAAATAATTAAAAAAATAATTCATGTACATGCTAAGAATATGATTCCTTCCCAAAATGCAAAATCAAAAAACATCCATGTTTACATAATACATTTGTATAGCACTTCCAAAATACAGTTAAAAGTCTTTAATCCGGACTCGTCGGGACTTCGGGGATTCCAGATTATCGGTTTTTCCAGTTTGTAGATCATGAATTTAAATCTGGTAAGATGACATGCAGAAATTATAAAATTAAAAATATGGATACCGTAATGTATGAAATAAACAGCAATTATGATCTAAAGGATATCAAAATTTACAAATAAAAAAGCTTAATATTTATTTATTTACTTTATTAAACATTTCTTTCAACGCGTGAATGCGTAAACCATACATTACGCATAGTCGAAATTAAAAAATTGCAACCAGAAAACTATTTGATGTGTATTCGTGATATTTAAAATGATGAGGAATTTGATTTAAATCATATCAAAGACGGAGTACATCGAGATGAAATACTACATTTAGTAAGGAATTATAAGCCAAATAAAATAAAAACATCTGCCTTGAAGATAAGGACAGTGCTGACAGATCAACATCCAGTTCATTGCACACCGTGATGTCCCCCCCCCCACCGCAGAGCAACGTGAAATTGATAAACAGATTTCGGAATGGTTAGAGAAACAAAGAATATGCCTTTATCCATTTTTTGCAGCAATTCCACTTTTTGTTTGATGGACATAGAAACATGCTCTCGCTTTGTAGATCCTTTGGCAGCTCCAGAATCGGAAATTCTTTTTGACATAATCGAAAGTTCAAGCTTACTTTTATAAAATTGCTCAAACAGTCTGCAAAAAACAATAAGCTGAATCCAATTAGAAGATTAAGAAACAGCGCAATCTTCAACATTAACTGAAATAGATAATTAGATCATTTTAGCGTAGCTTATACCGTCTGTCGTACATTAAACGTGCACGCGTAAAGGTATTATGTGCATGCGCAGAAAGTTTGTAGCTTTGAGGTCCAGATTATAGATCATTCCGGATTATGGATGTCCGGATTAAAGACTTTATACTGTAATAATTAAAAGCACTAAAAGCAAAAAAATAAGCACTGAAAACAAAAAATAAGTGCTTTAGAAAAACGTAAGCACCTATAAGGGCTTTTACATTTTATTTTCAAATATGAGGACTTGGAAGCACTTGTATGGACCGCTAGGAACCCTGTTGTAGTAGTCTGTCCCCCTTTTTTTGAAAATTTAACATCAGTTATCCTAGGTGATGCAATCTGACCAGTGTTTTCAGAGAAGAAAAAGACTATATCACACACAGATTCCACCATTCCTGACAAATGTTCATGCAGCAAGTATCCAGTCTCTTGATTTTTAAAAAAAGAGAGAGAGAGAATGAGTTTTCATTATTTTCTCTGAGCAACCAATATGAGACACTGGAGTCAGAACTGCTAAACAAATTAAAAATCAACTGACTTAATATTTTTAACTAAAAATGCACATTAAAATTATCATGCAGTTCTAAAACTGCTCACAGTAAAACAACATAATCATCACTTGAGAATTGAGTGCTCAATAGCGCAAAGATCAATGCTCAATAGCTAAGTGCTCAATACATCTTAAAAGTGCCCAATAGCGCTAATATATTGCTAATAAAATCAGCAAAAAATACACAAATGTTGTTGATAAGCTATTTTTAAAAACAAAATATTAGCAAGCACTTACTGATGACCACCACTGATCCATTAGTGAATGTTTATTATTTTTACTGGACAAATTAGCTACTAAAATAGGACAAACAGTAAAGCTGAAGCACTCCATGTTTAGGAAAAGAAATGAGCCTGATATAAGTTTTTTAAGAATTTGTAAACCTACAATTGTAAAATCAAAATAATGAAACAAAAAATTTTATATATAATGAAATGACTAAGCTAAATTTACATATCAGTTTGTAAAATGATGTCATAATGATAATATACACTAACCTGTAGGATTTGAAATATTTGCTCCAACATTTCGGTTACCTCGGCAATAATATAATACACACTGTTTAAATTTCTCACATCTCTCATCTGATGGAGATCCAAAAACATGCCATGCTACTTCATCCAAATCATCAACTGATGGTAGATTTCTGACATAATCAACAATTGCTTTGATCAGAGTATTTGGAGCTATCTGTAAAGCAAAAAGAATTAAATTCAAATTAGGAAGCAAATCTGATATCACAAAAAATATACCAACTCAAAAATATTACGCCAACGGTTCTCAGACTGAGATATACATACTGCCAGTGTTAAGCAAATTACTTTCAGGTGGTACACACAAAATGTCAAGAGAATCAAATCTTGTTAGAGAATTTTCAGTACAGTTAAGAATTTTCTTTTCCCCTACGTTTATTAGTTTTAGTCACCAATGCTAACAAACTGTCAATTCCTTTCCTTTAAAAAAACTTACCAGGAAAACTATCATATTTTCCACAAACAATTCCCATGAAACTTTCAGGAATGATCAAGAAAGCATATGAAAAAAATAACAAGTCTAAAATGTGGCATTTTGTGACTACCGGTGATCTCTGGAGCAAGATGTATAAAGTGAAAATATTTGAAGCCACAGACTGGCAAACAATATATTTGGGAGTTACAATAAAGTTTTTTAGAAATGGTACAGGTGCCTGAGTGTATGCAAAATCAATAACAATTTTTACTCAGTGTAATTAGTACAGCAAATAACTTGCACAGCATGCATAGTACTGAATTTTAGTAAGCTGCAAAAGATGCTTAATACTTTGCTTGCTTGAGCTGGTGGCTAACCAAATGATCCCAACAAGCAATTCTAATATAAAAGTTAAAGTTTACAAATATAAATAATGAACACAAATAAACTATATAATTATTCGAAGATTTAAAGTATTTTCAGACTCACCACAGTTGTAATCACTAATTGCAGCATTATTAATTTTGCATGGCCCTTTATGAACTTCTAGCTAAATGATATAAAAAATTCTGTAATTGGGCCATGTTCAATTTGTCATGCATTATATTATTTTGCATATACCAAGATGTACTGCAGATCTGCTGCACAGCACAGTTCCCAGTAGTTTACTATTTCTTCCCATTTATCTTTCAAAAAATACATCTAGACTCGATGTTTCATTTTTATTATAGGTAAATATTAAAACACAATCATTACACAGTGCAAATATTTATTAACATTAATAATTTCTTACTTCAAGACAACTATACAAAAAATCCTGAAAGGTTTCAGATTTTAAATTATGTCTTAAGGGGTGCTTTTTAAACATTTTGTGTGTTACCTTTATTTATTAAATATCATGTTCTTCACACTTAAACCATAAAATTCACTTCAATAGCAATGTCGCAAAATAATTTTAAAATGAGCCTATCTTTAGAATTTCCGATACACATTTCTGCACGCTGGAAATAAAAAGGTTCAACCCCCCCCCCCCACCCCCCAATAGATCGTTGCCATTGCTCGCTTTCAAATCATTGAGTTCGTTACTCAAAAATTCGTTAAAATTTTTTAAAATATGAAATTGATAATAAAACAAATTCCAAATTTCAAATTTGGGCTTCCACATGCCCGTATTCACAGTAGGATTATGTCATTCAAAATTTGATGGCTGTATTACCATTGTTTTATCACAATGCAAGAAATATAGATACATTTATGCAGATTTTTCATTATTTAATGTCTTCAAATATAATGCAGGAATCTAACATTTGGTGGCAACAGTTTGAAAAGTGAAACAGACATTTATAGTGATTCAACACAAAATCGCAAAACAAAAACAATATTCCTTCAGGGACAAAGTCCCTTTGGACTAATAAAGTACTGGTTGTTATAAAAAATGCATTCATTTTTCATAAGAAGGTTCCATATTTGAATGGATAATAGTTTTAATTTTGGCTATATTAAATGAAAACAAAGATTTCTAGCAACAGAAGGTTTTGGCGATTGGCCCGCTAATCCCCAGTTGCCCTTTTAGTTGGGAGGGTATGTGAGGTATTTTCTCCCTCCTTCCAGCATGCCTTTATGGTATAAGAGTAGTACACTCGGCGCATATTCAAAAGGCTCACAGTTCGAATCCTGGCAAGGGCACTGTATACAATTTTCACCTCTTTATCTTTTTTTTAAACTAATTACTCTACAGCATAAATATTGAATAAAGTGGGTCCAAGGAAGGGCCCTAGTTGCACATTTGCTAAAACTGCACGGCAGGTAAAGTATGTCCCACACATGATAAAAACCAAATTATAGTATCAAGATGTGATGAAGCACATTCCTGATAGGTGGCAAGCAGTGACTATCACTTGAAGAATCTGATACAAAGCACAGATTTGTTTGACCACTAAAAGTAATATTTTCAAGTAATTAGTATATTGTATGATTATTTAAATTACCTGTAATCTTCATGTTGTGGTATAAATATCAGTGACAGGTGCCAAAAGCACACAAGTTTTGATCTACAATTGGACTCTTTTTCTCCTCAACCGGGTAGGAAATTCAACCGACAAAGGGAAGGGTGGATAGAAGATATGGCTGTAGATCAAGGAGCAGGATACTTGATTGTTTTCATTTGTACTTAGGACTACCTGCCTAAGGGAAGGAGTGCCTTTGTCAAGGTCTTTCTAAGGGTAACTAGCTCAAATCCTCCTACACATATAAAAAAACATGCATCCAGACCATTCACCTGGAACTGAATCCAAGTTGAACTTCCAGTGCTCAGCGACTGTACTGTTTAGCAGCCGGCAAGCCACAAATTCAGAGTGCAGCTGAGTTTTATTAGGTCTTGAGATTTTAGGGTATTCTTTTTGAAGCAAATACATAATTTATTTTGTTATTTAAGGTTTATTGCCATATTTTATAAATTAGAATTAAAAATATTCTTCTCAGATAAAAATTTTTCAGGTATATATTAGCATTTTCACTTAGTGAATTCAACATTTATTTTTATTTTAGCAAACTCATCCTTTATTTTTGTTATCTAAGATTTTACATGCTTACTTTTTACTTATTTAAGATTCTATAATATTCTTTCCAGATTAAATTTTCCTATAATTAACATGCTTTACCTGATTTTCAGCATTTCATTTTGATAGAAATATCTTACCATTTAGATTTTCTATCTTTCATTTACAGGTTATGCATTTTACTTTATTTTCATAATTTTATTTATTCCATTAATTTTAGAATTTCATTCTCCTCAGCAACCATTTGTTTCCTGTATAAAACCTTCAATTCTTTTTGTTTAAATATCATTTCTCTTTGTCCGAGATTTTTTACAATAACATTTTGTACAAGTAAATTTAAAAGAACAAACCTGAAATACTTTGTATAACTGAAGCATTTCAGAACTAACTGAATATACTGATTTTTCTAAAAGCTAGTTAAAATGAATATAACTGGTGTTTCTATGTTAAAACTGTGGACCTTGGGTATCCATTCTTAGTACCAGTTGCTTTTGGAGAGTAAACTGAAAAAGTATACTTTCCAAACAGCATTTCTTACACTAAGTTAATATTTTGCTTTACTAAAGCGTTTCAAAACTAATTAAATATTACTCATATTTTTATACAATAACTTTACTATAAGAGTACGATATTAAGTGCAATTTATAAAACTTATTTCCAGTGTTGTTTTTATCCTTGCTTAATTACTTTATTAACCCTTTATCAGGCCCAGGCCATTTATTTTCCAAATTCATATTTTATGCAACTATTAGGGAAAAGTAGCTCGTTTATGACCAAAAATACTATTTTTGGAATTCTGTTGTCGTTGTTGTTTATAATAGGGATGGTAACATATTACCACTGCCCGGTATAAGCAATGGCATTTTACTGAGTTGTGCAAAAGAAAAAAAATCATAATTACAAAAATATCACAAATAAACATGTATTTTTGATGAAAAAAATTTATTCTTGATTATTTAAATATACATATAATGTAAAATCGATGATTAATATAAAATTGATTACAGATATAAATATAACCAAATGCACTACTTCTACGGATTTTAATTTTAATTTTTATTCATAACACGAAGCAGCACAGAATGGTACATGACATGTTGAACATAACACCTTGGTACGTGTTTCTGATTTACTTTTATGCTGCAATATTTGCACCTTCTGTAACTTTCTTCTCTGACTGGCATGTGTGTTCTAACATTAGTTGTTCGGATTTCCCCTTGGAATAGCATTTTCCTTTTTCGCTGATACCCAGTTTGATTGCAGTTTTCGTTTTTTACTAGAGAAGCCTCATATTAAGCTGTGAGCTACTCTCAACCTAAATTCAAGTCTTTTTCCCATTGTAAACTTCAGACTGATATAGGTAACCAATTGATGCGTTTAATCTAGCCCAAATCTTATAAACTCTTTTTACAGGCTTCCCTGGCATATATTGCTTCATTGTGGACTTTCCTATGAATTTTACTGTTTTTCATCAATAGATTGAAGTCTGAATATTTTTATTGAATTTTTATCTAAATGGGTAATCAAAGAACACATTTACTGTAATTTGTCAAATTCAGACTCATTTCAAGGGACAGCCTTTTGATTGCCATTGATATGCAAATTTGAAAGGATTTTTTTTAATCTCTTTGCTGCCATAATTGACGAAATTTCTTGATTATTGAAAAAAAGAGTCAGAAGACCAGTGCAAATCTAAGGTAATTTATTGATCCCCTTCATAATTAGGATTTCCTAAAAAGGCCTGCAGTTCTTCTTGCGTGAGGGAGTCCTTTTTCGGAATCTTCAGGGTCTGAAGGCAGTGCAAAATAAAGCTCTACAGCTTCCTCGGTGATTAACTTTTTTCTTTTTCTTCAATGCATTTACCTAAAATAATATTCATTACATTTAATTAGTTACTTATATTTTGAAATCACTTGAACATACTGATGAAAATATTACCTTTATAGCATTCTAAAGTAATATTTTAATTCAAATTTCTAAATACATAAATATTTATGTAATCCTAAATAAACGCTAAAATATTTCCCATAATATTTATAATAATTAATATTAGAAATAATTAATTACTGAAATGCCAGAAGGGCCAAAGATTTATCTCCAAAGTAAATTTGTTTTAAACAGTTGAAATTCTTTGTAAGTTAAATAATTTTGTAGTCAATGTATGAAAAAATATTTCACTATATTTTTTTAAATGCTTAATACAATTTAGCTATCAAACCTTTAAGATTCAAAATATATGAATATATAGCTTTTAACGTATTTTTATATATCAATACACAATAAAATAAGAAAAGAGTACATACTTACCCTCTCCATTTTGCTTGAAAACTGGATGAATGCAGAAATGTTGCGGTTTACGTGGCCTCTACAGCCACCTATTACAGAAAATGTGAAGCTTTGGTTCCAGAGGAAAATTCCTGATATCAGGCGCCGGTAAATAATTTTCCGTATGCTGCTATAAAACAAATTGCTTAGTGGTAAGATATTTACCACCGCCTGTAAAAGGGTTAAAATATTTTAAAACTAAGCAAACATTAGTTTTTTCCATAGTAATTTGGCTCTTGGTTTTCTACTATGACTGCATTTTTATATTTTGGACAAATGAAGTGTTTTAGAACTATATGTTACTGTTTTTTCTGTGCAATGTTTAAGAACTTCGGCTCCTGGGTACTTACTTTGAATACCAATTTAATGTTTCTTTATAAAGGATAAACTGAAAAGGCGTTGTGGCCAAACTGTGTTTCATCCTTCAGCTTGGTTTATTCTTTGCTTTACTGAAGTATTCCAAAACAAATACAGCATTATTGATAGTTCTGTACAATAGCTTTGGTTTTAGGGTATCAATACTGTCATTTATAAAGATTATATTTCCAGGTCAGTTTCTGTTCTTGGTTAATACTGTGTTACAGAAGTATTTAATAAAATTAAGTAAAGATTACTTTTGTGTGTCCTTCTGTGTGAGTGTGTTATAACAATTGGCAAAATTGATTGATGGCACAATTGATCCAGCTGCGTACACAACACGATCAATTGTACCATCAATTACCTCTTTTCATTCATTTTCGCTGCATTCTAGAGTGTTAGAAGACACAAAGTGATCAGCCTATCTGAATGGTAACGATCCAGATCAAATTTAACACTGACGAACGTACGCCACTGCTGATGCTTGACGACACTTTTCAAGTCAATGAATCTGTCTCGAGGTAAACAGTGAAGCGGTTAAAAGAACAGCATGCACTTTTTATGTAATTTGGTTACTTCCTAAATTATTATTTTTACCTAAATTTGGCTATTACAGGTATTTTTAAAACTACGTGTAGCATGTGGTTTTTCTTTTAATCTTGATTTTGTTAATTCATTTTGTTATCAAATATTCCATTTGACTAAGGAAAATGCCATTGTTTTTACCACCATGTAGATACTTTTATTTTTGGCAGCTTTTATAATTTTCAAGTAATCTTTCGGTCAGTTTTGAGTTTCAAACAACAGCATGTTTCTGTTATAAATATTATTTGTTAGTTTTTGGCTATAATTTGTATAGCTGATTTTGTTTATTTATCCTAAATTTTATAACATCAGAGATGGGGGGGGAAAGAAAACAAAAACTTTAAAAAAATTGAGAGATTCTTAAGAAATCACTATGTTTAAAGAGGCAATAATGACATAAAAAAATAATTAAAAAATAATTCATGTACATGCTAAGAACATGATTCCTTCCCAAAATGCAAAATCAAAAAACGTCCATGGTTACATAATACACTTGAGTTGCATTTCCAAAATACAGTCAAAAGTCTTTAATTCGGACTCGTCAGGACTTCAGCCATTCCGGATTAGTGGTTTTTCCGGTTTATAGATCATGAATTTAAATCTGGTAAGATGGCATGCAGAAATTATACAATTAAAAATATGAAACCGAAATGTATGAAGTAAAGAGCAATTATGATCTAAAGGATATCAAAATTTACAAATGAAAAAGCTTAATATTTATTTGTTTACTTTATTAAACATTTCTTTCAATGCATGAATGCGTAAACCATACATTACGCATAGTCGAAATTAAAAAATTGCAACCAGAAAACTATTTGATGTGTATTCGTGATATTTATAATGACAAGGAATTTAATTTAAATCATATCAAAGACGGAGTACATCAAGATGAAATACTACATTTACTAAGGAATTATAAGCCAAATAAAATAAAAACATCTGCCCTGAAGATAAGGATAGTGGTGACAGATCAACTTCCAGTTCATTGCACACCCCGATGTCCCACCCCCAACCGCAGAGCAACGTGAAATTGATAAACAGATTTCGGAATGGTTAGAGAAACAAAGGATATGCCTTTATCCATTTTTTGCAGCAATTCCACATTTTGTTTGATGGACATCGAAACATACTTTCGATTTGTAGATCCTTTGGCAGCTCCAGAATCAGAAGTTCTTTTTGACATAATCGAAAGTTCAAGCTTGCTTTTATAAAATTGCTCTAACAGTCTGCAAAAAATAATAAGCCGGATTCAATTAGAAGATTAAGGAACAACGCAATCTGCAGCATTAACTGAAATAGATAATTAGATAATTTTAGCTTAGCTTATACCATCCGTTATACATTAAACTCGCATGCGTAAACGTATTATGCGCATGCATAAACGTATCATGTGCATGCATAAAGGTAATATGTGCATGCATAAACGCATTATGTGTTTACGCATGCGCAGAAAGTTTGTAGCTTTGTGGTCCGGATTATAGATCATTCCAGATTATGGATGTCCGGATTAAAGACTTTTGACTGTATAAGTGAATTTCACTTTTTAAAAAGACAGAGGCTTATAAATATTTAAATCGCTTCTCAATGCACAAAATAGAAAACATCCGAAATTTTACATTGGTTTTATACACTAGATGACTCACAAGACTTGATACTCAACAGAAAGCTGAAATATGAATATTTTCATACAAATCTGCTCTCATACACATAACTGTAGCATGCTGTAATGTGAAACAGCTTTAGTTTTCTTTCATAGAATATGTAGAGAAAAATCAAGCGATTTCAAGCATTAAAAATCATATTTTGGAGAGCAAATAATAAAATACAATCTACCTAAAAATGAGAAATTAGACATAATGGGAAAGTTGGGAGAAGTATGTTGTAGTTTGGATTGCTAGGTTGAAAACTGGAGTCTCTCACCTAAACCGGAAGTGTTGGTATCCTCTATAACATATCGACATTATTTGTTTTGGCTGCTGTGCAGCAGATTTGTTTCTGGAATGGATTTCAGTTTTAATTTTTTTATTTTCTGATTTTTAATTATTCTGTGTAAAGTATTTTCTGAAAAAGGTTATTAAATCTTTTTTTAAATAATTCATCCAGAAATATATTCAGAAAAGTTGCTGATATATAAAGTTGTGGTTTGCTCACTGATGGGGGGGAACGTAAAATTGCATTTTTTTTTTTTTTTTTTTTTTTTTTTTTTTTTTCCTCTAAGGGGGAAAGAAACACCTTCCACTATTTAAACGGCTTTTATACCCTTTGCTTTAGGCTTCCTAATCACTGATGGATACAAAATTTTCCTTCTCTTTCTTGTGTGCGTGCACACACACACACACATACATACATGCATGCATTCACAAACACACACACACTATATGCAGAATAAAACTTTTTACCTTTCCTTTAGCATCTGGACACAGAGACCGATGAAAAGAAGCCAAATCTGTATCACTGATTATGTGATTTCCAAGCAAAGCAGCAACAATACAAATTCGACTAGGATGAAGATTTAAGCACCGTGTCACTTCATTTAAAATATATTCTTTAGTTTCTAAACAACCCTAAAATGACAAAATAAAAGGAAAAAAATCATTACACCAGCAGCTTAAAAATATTAAAATGCTATAATCATATACACTTAAAAAATTATTCACTGAATAATAATATTAATAGCAATTTTTTGTACATACAAAACCTATAGATGAAAAAACACATGTTGTAAAGAGGAGAAAATAAAATACAGTTTCCTGTGTTTAAGACTGCTTCAAAGCCATAAAATATATGAAAGAATCTTCAATTCTTAAATAACTTATAATTTCTGAAAAACCTGATAATAAAAAGGAAATTGCCATTGCTTAATTTCTCATCAGCTTCAGTGGCTTAGATATAGAAAAAATATCTTACAGATTTTAGTTACATTTTGTTCACTAAAAAGCAGAAATCATATGAATGGATTGGATCACTTAAATATTGCTATGAAAATACAAGATTGTTCGATTAAAAGAAGGTATGCCTGTAAGAAGGTCTTTCAAATGAAACTAGCCTCCATTTACATTACAAACGATGAAAATAACCACCTGGCACCTAGCTTATTCAACTGAAGAAAAGCAGCAATGATTTACTAATAATTAGATTGGCTTCACCACTCAATTACTCGTTAGTTGGATTAGGTTGGCTGGTTAGTTAACTGATTAACAGATAAAACATGTCAAGGGTATGTGCTTAAGGTCAGAAAGAACTAATTAAAGAAAGCAATGTTGTTACTCATTAGCTTGCAATATAATTTATTCAGTATGGTATTTTTGTAAAGAAAGGGTGTTGCTGTACATTTTGTAAAGTATAAATAAGCATTGCATTTAATAATTATAACAGTTATTAGTTATTTAATAACTAATCATAAGAATATGAATAATTAAATATTTTTTCGGAGATATATTATCCGGCGATATTTTTTTCTAGGGATCCCAGCATACATTTTTGAAGCATTATACTCTAAATAAATGTCTTGTTTGAACATAGCATTAATTATTGACACCAAATCTCCAACCAAAGGAAATACCTTACTAGGGAGGATATTTAACCTTTTCCCGGGGGCTGGGACATATATGTCCCAAGCAAAGTGTACGGCAACTGGGGGCCACGGGACAGTTTTTCCTAGGTCGCAGGGGTAGAAATTCTAACGCTTGAGGCTTGACAACTATTTTACGACACCCTAAGGAGTGCCTTCTTTTGAGGGATTCCGCTAATGGGTAGGGGTAATTGTCCGTAGTTTGAACTCACATGGCCTGTTTGCGAATTCGGTGTTTTCCAGGAAATATTTTCTCAAGAGGAGAAAATAAAAAGACTAATTTGTTACTTCGATTCTCGCCCGTTTGCATTTTAAGATCTTTCTTCAATTTTTTTTTCTTTTGCAAATACCGTTATAAATTCTTTGAGTTGATATCATTTTTTCGAATTCGGTATTAAATAATGGCTAAACGTAAAGGAAATTTTCTTTGTTTCATTCTTTTTGTAATTGTTTACTTCAGTTTATTCCAGTTTTTAATGTGCATGTAAAGGCAGTGCAATGAATATAAACGTTTCAGGTGATGAAAATTAATTTTAATGTTATTCTAAATGACATACATTCCACGACTACTGTTTACTCGAGTGAAATTTTGCTTTGTTATGTTCTAAATTAAAACTAGCAGCTGAGCGGATAAATTTTCTTTAACACTAATAATTCAAACCGGGTTCAAATTTCGAAGAACGGATTGACTGCATGAACCTTTCGTATTCGTTCATGTATATGAGCCAATTTCCTTCGAACGTCCTCCACGAAAGCTTCCTTCGATTGGGCAAATAATCTTTTCTTTAATCAGACAAATGAAAACAAAATTATATTCGAAATAAGAAAACTATATTTATGAGCGTCTCATAACTAACTATATTTAGAAACCCTTCCTTTTATGAATAATTTTGATGACAAAATGAATTTCGACTGTGCGATAAATGAAACACCAATTTTTATTAAAGCTGTTAGTAAAGACCATTTTATAATTCAAAATTTAAAAAAGTTTCAAAACTTATTAATTTATCCGTTGTTATATGTTTGCATCTATAAGATGATATCTGTATCAATTCTTTCAGAAAGTAGATACGTTAGTTTAGATTAATTAAACGTGAAAAATACACGAAGGCTGCCTTTCTAAGGAAAATGATGCCTACCTATCGAAAAGGATGCCTTCGAGGAGAACTTTTAAGGGAAACTATCTCGTATTCACGTTTCACATGGGGCAAACAACGAAAACCAACCATGCAGCCAACCCAATTGCCTGGCCTCGAACCCAAGTCGAACTACCAGTATTCAGCAGTCTTGACCACTCAGTCACAGGTAGTGTTCAGAAGGTTATTAATTTTTACGTGATAATTGTATTTTGGAGGGAATCAAACGATATATTAGGATACTAAGGATGTATAGAGTAATTGAGATGTGTACTATTTTTTAGTTCCCTGAATTTAATCCTCAGTACGATTCTTTATTAATATTCATCAACTCAGTACAAATCTTCATTCCGAGCTTCATTACTCCGAAAGAAAGCAACAATAAAAAGCTTGAGATCTGAAAATTTCGCATAACAATCTGATACCTCAAAGGCGATTTTAGCATTCTGAAAATGTAGATCATAAAAAACTGAAGAAATATTTCTCCATTCAACAAAAATCTTTATTTTTCAAAATTTTAATGGGTTCCTGAATATGCAATTTTGCTTTTAAAGAAAAAATGCAGCAACAATATAAATCGACAAACAACTATTTCCCTTCTATTCTAAGGTAAAAGCAATATATAATATCTCTAAGTGGTAAACCTAAATTTTTGTTATTGAATATTATTTTCTCAACCTCCAGCGTTTTCTCCTGCATTTCTTTACCGAACCAAAAACTGTGAAGCGGTTAAAAAAATTAAAGATCTTATATATCCCTCATATGAAGGCAGATCAAGCCTGGGAATGCTATTTGCAATGTCACATGGAAGAAACATTTATTTAAAAAAATTCTTACCTCGTGCACAGTGGCGTAGCTAGGGTGGGGCAAAAGGGGACATCTGTCCCCGGGCGCAACATCCAGGGGGCGCCAAATTGATGGTACGAAATTTTAGACTGAAGTTTTTTTCCATTCGTGGCATACAGAACGGGACGCAAAATCTTCAGTTGTCCCCGGGCACTGAAAACCCTAGCTACGCCTCTGCTCTTGCATTGGTAAATTTTTGTTAGTGCATGTTTGTTAGTGTTGTTCAATAATGATTCAATGCAGCACAAACGCAGTTACCAATTTCTTTTTCTCCAGAAATGAATTTTACAGAAGTGTAAATCCAATAACACTCATTTGGGAACTTGAAAATGCTTTCTAAATGACACTTGTAATAATTAAACTGTATTTAATTTTCTCTTCAATATCAGGATAATTATAATACTTAAAATGAAAATCTATATATTGTTTGAAGGATATGTTTGAATATTTTAAATCACTAAATTCTCTATAATGTGACAAGTCAATATAGGTAACTCTGATTACTTCGCTTATTTTTCAGTATATAACCTATGTGCAAGTTTAAAAAGTTATTTTAACCAAAAAATGAACAAAATTGTCTAGTTGTAGCATAAAACATTTCGTCTGAAAATAAAACAATAAATTACGTTTCGTGGGAAAACTGCATACATCTATCTGCAGTGTGAAAGCGATTAGAATACTTCCTTCATTCTATCGTCTAGAGCTTTGGAACTGGACCGAAAAGAAATGCTAACCGTTTCTCTGCCTGCCAACAAAAGAGCACTAATCACCTCGTCGTTAAGACTCGACCTGAAAAATTTTACCCCCTTTCCCTAACCGCTGAGCGAAGAGCCCCCAGTGAAGGAACACAACTATTTTTCCAGCCCACGTGAAAAGGTTAAACAAAAATTTTTATTAGAATAAACATTTTCATTATTTTAATACTACTAATAATATACAAACAGTAATTTAAATTTACTATAGTTGAGTGAATAAAATTGCTGGATGTTGGTAGTTTGCTGTTGGCAACCAAACAGTTTAGCTGCTTGGTGTCTTTATGATTTTCCCCATGCGTTATGTGAATTCAAGCCAATTTTATTTAGAAAATTACCCACGAAGGTGGTCTCTTAAAACAGATAACCCATGACTTCTTAAAAACTGTAAAATATAATCTGTGCATATTCTCCGTTATACGATAACACGAACAAAATGATTTCCTATAGAAAAACATACGATCAGCGCTGTTATTGGCCACTGTTTAATTAAATGCATCCATCTTATTCCTTACAATTAATTTTCCTTCTTCAATGAAAGTTTGTTTTCAGTAAAATATACTATTTACAATGTGCCGATTTATTTTGCTCGTTTGTCACGGGACAACTGACTCATGTCCACATTACGCTGTGAAGAAAACCACATATACAACCAGCTCATTCTCTACATTTTTAACTTCAGGTGCTAGCATACAGTGGTTTTACAGGGCATTTAAAACACGTGACTACAAGCTTTATTTATTTAAAATATTAAACCTAGATAAGTAAATTTAATTATTACATTTCTCAGAAAGTACAGAGTTTTTAAGAACAGTTTCAGTAGTGTAAAAGAAATTGTAAACACATAATTAATTTGATAATGTTGTTTTTTCCAATATCTGCATAAATTTAGACCTTTTGTTTCTAATTTTTTAAAACATAATAATTTTATTGGTTTGAATGGTATACTCTTTTTGTGATTTAGGTTTTACATTTGCACAATCTTTTCCCCCATGGCGCTGATATTGTTATAATAAAATCCTCTACATTTAATGACAGAAAGCTTGCTTCAAAATGCTCTTAAACTGGATTACTATATTAAGATCTATGACAAATATACAGCCATTGTGAAATGAACCTCTGCAGAGTTATCAGTTTACAATGGCTCCTTCTCTCTATCATTCGCCTACACAAAAATTTGCAACTAACCCGCAATGATTGCCTTTTGCTTAATTTTACCTTGCAGGCTTTCAGCAAGTTTTTAATTCATGAAGAGATTCAG